CATTCTGGCTTGAGGAATGAAAAAGGGAGCTCTTAATGCCCGAAGAGCATGGGCAGTCCCTGGTTTTCTCTTTCTCCTCTTTCTCTGTTCTCTCATGCCACAGCGCCCAGGCAGACCCACAGTGCAGTGGTGCCTGTCAGTAATGTGGTAGGGCCAAAACCCTAAGGAAGGGGAAACTTGCTCTTCACAGAGAGGAACGGTGATCCCAAGAGGGTGAGGCCAGCCCCCATGGCTGTTTTCTCTCTCTCTCTGTTCTCCTGCCCCGGGACCTGAATATGGGTTCAGATGTGGAAGCGCGTGGCAGAACAGGGTACTAGAGCCCTGAATTTCTGAGTGGAGGACCCAAAAGGGGGGCACCAGGGAACTGAAAAGAGCAGGGGAGATTGCAGAGAGGGAGGAGCTCAGGAAAATGACTCTGTATCATTGTTTATGAGCTTCTGAGCCATGTATGTCTGGGTCAGGTCCTAATTAGCATACTGAAGATTTTGACAACTAAAGTGATGCATAGAACACCACCCAGGTCCCATCATGGTGCACGCCTGAAATGGAGCCAAAGAGCAGTATAGCTTCATTGAAAAGCTGAACTGTCATTGGAACCACAGCCCACAGCAGGGGGACTGGAACTTGCAGACTGAATCTAACCAGGTTGCACCTGCTAAAGCAAAAAAAATCAACATTTTTGGTAAGACTTAAACAACATCCAGAGTCTCTTAATGTAATATTCAAATTGTCCACAGGACACAATCCAAAATTACTGAACATACAAAGGACCATAAGATTTTCAACCTTCCTCAGAAAAGACAATTAACAGACACCAAGGATGAGATTTCACAGATGTTGGAATTATCGAAGACTTTCAAGCCAGCTGTTCTAAAAGTGCTCAAGTAAGCAATTGCAAACCTCCTTGAAATAATTGTTAAAATAGAAAATCTTCACAAGGAAATGGAAGATATCCACGGCAATTTTAGAGCTGAAAAATACAAAAACCATGCTAAGAAACTCAGGGGATGGGACTCATTAGCAGAATGGAAATGACAGAGAATGTGTGAACCAGAAGATTGATAAATAGAAATTATCCATTGTAAACCACAGAGAAAAAAAATGAACAGAGCCTCTGGGACACGTGGGACAACAAAAGGTTGAATGTTTGTTGCATCAAAATCCCAGGAGAAAATAAAGAGTGCGATGCTGGAAAAACATTTGAAGAAATCATGATTGAAAACTTCCCCAAGTTTGGTAAAGGTTATAAACTTACACATTCAAGAAGCTGAACAAATCCCAAACAGGATAAACTGAAAGAAATATGCCCCCAAAGACATCATAGACAAACTGCTGAGATCTTAAGGCAAAGAAGATACCTTGAAAACAGCCAGAGAAAAATGACTCATTATCTGTAGGCGAGTCATGATTTAATACTGCAGGTTTCTCAGCAGAAACCATGGTAGCCTTGAGAAGTGATGAAGTATTTTGAAGGTACAAAAGAAAAGAACTGTCAACCTGGAGTTCTAAATCCAGTGAAAATATCCCTCAGGAAGGAAGGTGAAATAAAGATGTTCTCCAATGAAGGAAAACTAAGGGAATTCATAGCAGCAGACCTGCTGTAGAAGAATGGATAAAGTTCTTTCGAAAGAAGGGTGATGTTCTGGTTCCACCCCAGCACCTGTGCTCATGGCCCCCCTGCATCATCCCTACCCTGCTGAACCGAACGTAGCCAGCAGGTGTAAAGAATGGACTGCCCACGTGACTCATGCTATCATTTTTCAATTTACAAAGTAAATGCAGAGACTTCAATATACAAAGTGACATTCAGAGGCCAATGATGTTTCTGAAAACTGAGTAGAATAAAGGACTTGCACACTCAGGGGAGGCAGTACACCCACCTGGCTGGGGAAACAGCTGAATTTGATGATAACTGGCATCCAGGTCCCACAGAGAACTGTTGAGACCCAGTGAGAACAAAATGGTACCAGTGTGGACCAGGGTCCCACTCTGAGGACAGAAGGTACCAGAAGACTCTAGACACTGGGCCTGAACCTGGGGGTGGGCACAGCTGCCGGAATACTCTTAATCTCCACCAGCAGAGGTGACATCCTCAGGGAGCTTAAAGGCCTTTAATGAGTAGGAGCCGAGGAACTGCAAAATGGCAGATGCCGTGGGTAGCTACACAAGTGATTGTCAAAATCATCTGGGGAGAGGTGGGGGTGTTTTCTTGGTAAAGATGGCTGAAGAACTAATTTTATGGCTTTTCTTCTGACTCTGTGTCTCTCTGTAGACTGGCACAACCTGGAAAACATGAGCTATAGTTATTATAAGGATGATCTACAAAGAGTACAGAAGTTTGGAGAAGATGAAGAAAAATACCTGTGATCCTGTGACCCTCACCTGATTATCTTCATATTAAAAGGAAAATAAACCTAATGAGGTCAGAGGACCTTCTCACTTTGCATGGATCATAGTCATTTTCCATGTTCCTACACCATCTTGATTCTCATTAAATAACTGCTTAGTAGTCCACTAGCTGGTTGTGCATTCATTTCTTTAACAACTCTCTCACTGTGGATCATTTAGATTGTTTCCACTTCTTTGATATTTTGAGTAAATGCAACAAAACCCATCAACATTCTTCTTTTTCCTTCTTTGAAATTGCTCTATTCTTTCTGGATTTTAACTTACAGCAAAAGAAGTAGGGCTGGACGTGTGTGTGTGTGTGTGTGTGTGTGTGTGTGTGTGTGTTTGGGGTGGGGTATATTTTATTTTTAGAGAGAGAGGGAGGGAGGGAGAGAGAGAGAGAGAGAGAATCTTAAGAAGCCTTGCAGGATTGGGACAGCATCCTGAGCTGCTGCTCACGAGACTCCTTGTACGGAGTCCTGCAGCCCAGAGGAGGCCAGAAAATGTCCTTTCCCTTTCCTGCATTAGGAGGAACTGTGAAAGACTTTGAAATGAGCAAAGGGGATTAGTGGGTGTCCTTTCAGTGGGACGCTGGGCATGGATCCCATGCTGTTGAGGTCTGTGTTTCTGACTGGGCTACTTTGTAAGCCATAGAAAACTGGCAGTCCCTCAAATAATTCTTGTCTATAGAAACATCAGTGAATATTGTCCCGGAAAAATGCAACCATTTTCTGTCCTGGATAACAGGTTATTCCAAACATTGCATTTTATTGGCCTAAAGATACAACCCAGTTTTGTGTCTATCAGCAAATTCATTTTGGCATTCCTGACTGCCTCAATGTGTCTGTCCTTCAGATTCTCCTTTGCAATGATATGACATCTTACTGGTCTCTTTATTAATGAGTAAAATGACATCTTTGATGTGTGTTCATTTATATTTGTATGGCTCATGTCTTTTCTTTGAAAATGATATTTTACCATCCACTTCCCTGATGATTTACAAATTACTAATTCATATCAGACCTTTGTCACTCATTCCCCATAGCTCATTTCATATTAAATTCCAAGTCTTTCACCGTCCCCCATCCCAACACACACACACACACACACACACACACACACACACACACACACACTCATTCCCATCTATACCCAAGATCCCCTGCACACCCAGAACAAAAACAGTGTTTTTTACAAGATGTGTGTGTTCTGCACTAAAAACATATGCATCTGGGTATTTGGCCAGGCTTGGACCCCTGAGATTCGAAGCAGTCTTTGAGACCAAACTGTAGGGACTGAATGAGGTAATGACCTCACGAGGGAACAGTATAATATGTTGTCTCTTCAGAGTCTGTTTTACACTGAATGCTGACTTCAGTTCAAGTTAAAGAATTGCCAAGTCCTCTTCTTCTGAGGACTTTCCTGGCATCGTCTTTCTACCACCAAGGAAGCTGGCACTAAGGGTCTGCTGCGTAGCTCTGGGTCGAGGATGGCCCGTCCAGGACCGGTTATAGATTTCCCAACATTCTTTCCAACGTCTGTTCCTTTGGGGCTGCATGTCCAGCTGCATTAGGCCACCTGGGGCCTTTGTTGGATAAAAACTTGAGATTCCTGGAAGCCTTGGCCAGGAGGCATGACAAGGCTACACTGTGGGTGGCTGGTGTCAGATTATCTCCAGGTGACCCCTTGAAATAGTTTCTTTTACGGACCCCTATGGAGACCCAACGGAGGGATTGGCCCAAGGAAGGAGAGCTTCTGCTCCGAATAGCTACCAGAATCACCCAACATGCCCTGAAATATGTCTCTGAGATATGGTGAGACCCAGGGGATTGTGATCACAGGCTCCTCTCTAGACCACTGCCACCCAAGTGTGGTCCAGGCTCCACCATGCTGGTATCACCCGGGAGCTTGCTCAGGCCCAAGGCCAGACTTGCTGAATCCGAATGTGTGGGTTACAAGATTCCCTGGTGATTCATATGCACTCCGGAATCTGGAAAGGCTGGGGTGATGGAGGTCACACTACCTGGGAGCGATCAAGTCTGTGAATCTCGTTAGCTGGGGAACTGTGGGCCAGTCACTTCCACCTCTCAGGGCCTGTTTCCCCATCTATAAGAGGACAATAACCTCTGTACCACGGGGCCATGGAGAGATCCAAGGGATGTGAAAGCACCGACTGGCATTGCCTCATAATTTGTTTAAAGGCCAAGAGAACTGCAAGGAAATCCTGGTGTGGGATGGGGTTGGTATCCTGTGGGGATGGGCGGATGGAAGGCTCCATCCCAAGCTGCCTTTCTGGTCTTTACCCAGACAAATGAGTGCTCCCTACAAGCAGGACATGTTCTATTTTTGCAGGGGAGCCCCGCTGGGGCCCCAGGCCCAGGGTGGCCAGGGCTGGGCCATGGAGCTGACCCAGAAGGTCCTTTCACTGCCACTATGCACAGCTGCAGAGAAGTTAGCCTGATGCCCGACCCTCATTTCTCAAGCCTTCTCTGCAATCATCTACTGCAGGGATTTGTCCTTGGGCAAAATCCATGTATCAGGCTTCCCTCCTTGAAGGTCCTGAGGATTAAATGGAGCCCTTTGTGCTCGATAGACACAGGGAACAAGGGGGCAGAATGAAATCATTTTAATAGCATAGCAACACTTTAGGACCAGGCGTCACAGACGAGGAAAATGTTTTGTCTTCCATTCGTACAAGTCTGGTGAGGCGTGAAGTTGCCCTGGACAATCTTACAGACATATTTTTCTCACTGAAAACTTAATAAATAGATACTTAAAATGTCAAACTTCAGAGACAATGAGTTGTGAGTGTGATTGCTTTCTTATTCTGCCTCATCTGAGCCAGGAGGTCGCTTCCTGGCATGCTGACAAAGGCGGGGTCCCTTAGGAGGGGTACTCATACTCCTCAGCACTGCGCCGGCCAAAATCCATCCAGCCCATGTAGTCCCGGTCGCTTATCCTGTGACTGGGGTCCAGGCTCTGCAGGTTCTTAATGACAGACATTCGGCCAGAAGGAGCTACAAGGGGCAGGGGAAAGAAAACAAGGCCATTATATTGAAGAGCATCGCTAATTCAATCTGTAAAGGAGAACAATGAGAAAAGCCAGACACTACGTAACAGGCACCTTCTTAAAGGTATCAAAGAGCCATCAAGTGGTGGGATTGCTGGACCAAAATCTAAGTGAAGGACCCAGGTCTGGGTAAACAGAGAGGGTAATATTTACTAGCGATGGGTATGGCTTTCAATCTGTAAGGATTTAAGTGGATTCACTGACTATGGGACCTGCCTCAATTTCCCTACTCCTAGGGGTGTTTTCTCTTATGTAGCTGGCCCTCAGCAGATGCCAAGCAAGAATTTCCTTGGTACTTACCCATTGCTGAAGTTTGCCCCTCAAGATCCCCAGCATACCTGAGTACTCTTGTTAAGGTAACACAATTACAATATTTTGATGTTAGAATGGTTTAAAAAAAATGGAGTCAAGTCCCACTGCTAGACAAATACTGTTTAGAAATTAATTTGAAAGCTACCTTCTTTTTAAAAAATGATACTGAGAAAAAGGCACACTGTTAGAGTAAAAAATCTTACTTCAGTAACACTCAAAGAAGAGTGGGTAGAGAAGTAATAAGGAGGTTATTTCATTTATTCCTTTTTTTTATTAAAGATTTTATTTATTTATTTGAAAGAAAGAGACACAGCGAGAGAGGGAACACAAGCAGGGGGAGTGGGAGAGGGAGAAGCAGGCTTCCCGCTGAGCAGGGAGCCCGATGCGGGGCTCGATCCCAGGACCCTGGAATCATGACGTGAGCTGAAGGCAGACGCTTAATGACTGAGCCAACCAAGCACCCCATTTATCCCTTTTGACTAAAATGCAATAACTGAATGAGCAATGGGCCTTTGGGGATGGGAGTGAAGTCCTCAGGAACAGGATGGTTCTCATGTGTCATTCACATTGAGGGAGCAGGGACATGAAGAAGCAGTTCCTTTAGAGACATGTGACATAGTCTTAGCCCACAGATCACAGACAGTGGCTTTCTGGATAAGAAATCTGTATAATGGCTTCTTCTGTGCAAGCTAAGAGACAAGACATGTCCCTCAGGGACCTCGAAGGGCAAAGCCCAGGCAACTCTAAGAGCAACATGGTGGGAGATCACTCCATGGGGCCACTGTGTCCCCACTGTTTGTGATGCTGGCGTCCAGCCCTACTGTATGAGGCTGCCCTTGCCAACTCTTGTCCACAGGCTGCAAAGAGTCAGACTATGGCTTATTTGTTGATAAATGACCTGGCAGGAGCAGCTCCTCTGTCCTACTGGATGACCGAGTAAAGCTAGCTACATTAAAAACCAGAACAATTATACAGAGCAATGTCCCCAATCGTTCTTCACCCCCCCAACCCCACCTCAATCCTTTCCCAGCCTTGGAATCAAGAGTCAATCCAGCACATTCCAACCCCTTTGCAGGTATCTCCAGCCTACGCAAAAGGCAAACAGACCTGGCGTTGAATGGTTCAACATTTTTCAGGTGAAATATCAGTCGTTGCATTCAAAAAAACCTTGTGGATCCAGTTAGTTGTACACAGTTATGGAAATATGGCCCATCCTTCTTCCTGCTGCTGATGAATGCCCCCACCAAAGGCTGGGCACAGCCCCAAGTTCCAGTTAATGAAGGCAAAGTGGCAGCTTCGATGTGTGCAAGCAGCCTGGGTTGTGTGTGTGTGTATGGGGGGGTGGTGAGGGCACCACGTTTTCAGCCCTGGTGGCTGTGCTGGTTACACACCTCAATTTCGCCATTCCACATGCAGTGTATGCATTTACCAGGGTCCTCACTCACTTCCCCAGTGCAACACAAAGTAGGAACTACTACTGGTTTACAGAATTGAATCGAAGAGCCTGGCTCCTTTAAACTTTAAAACCCCAAATGGTCAGTACAGCTGGGAAACTGAATGGCTCCCAGGCCTTCTGGAGAAGGCAGGGTTTGAACAGTCGGTGAGATGTGCAAAGTCATGTAGGTTATACATTCTCCCCGGCTGCCACACTGACAAAGGGAGGCTAACGGAATTTACTAAGCAGGGCTTCTGGGAGGACTAGCAGACCCTACCGATGTTACAGATGTATCGTTAGAGCTTCGCTGGGCATGGGGCAGGTGTATGTTAGATGTCCCCTACCCCCAACAGACCTGCTTCCCCTCAATCCCTGAAAGCCCTGCAGACAGTTCCTGATGATAAACTCTTGAGCACTCCTCAAAGAGTACATGAGCATGTTTAGAATCTTTAAGCCTAAGTACGATAGAGGGGTAGATTAGCCAGTATGATCTCAAAATATGTAAAATAGTCAAAGAAACTGTACAGGTATAAATATTTATTCCTGGTTCATATTTGTCAAAGAAAAGAGTGTGATTGTTTTCCACCTAAGGCTGCCATTCCCACGTGGGCTTGTTTGGCACAACATTCTAAAGGCAAAGGGAGAAGGTGGCTGACAAGAGATGCTAGGAAGAAACTGCCAGCTAAGATTTGTAGCGTAATGCCATGTCAAGTGTCCATTCTAGGGAAATAGTTTGGTAACAGGCTTCTTTCCCAGACCTGTTTCTGGTGGCTCTTTCCTGAAGGTGGGGAGGTGGTTCCAGATTATGGCTCAATGAAAAACCTGTGATATTTCAGACTGGTCTGGCTGAAATTCAATCTACATCCAAGGACAGATATTAAATTACTTTGAGACAGACAATCAATAGGGACTCAAAAAGTTTTCAGATTTTTCTGTCATCTGACTAATATTTCCACATCTCTCAATTTAATTAGCCAGAGAGCAAAACAGAAGATGGTAGCTGGGACAATTTCCAAAGAGAGGACAAAATATAACAAATCATCTTCTGTTGTTGTTGTTTCCTTCTGAATTTCCCTGGTCAAAAAAGTTCTGATCTTACCTTCATATGAAACCATCAGAGACTCTGGAAAGCCAAGCTCACCGTTTCCTCCTTGTCTAGTCAAGCCATGAGCTTAAGGTTCAAATCCAGGCCCTGACAGATTGGAGAGTAAGAGAGCCTCCTGGGAAAGGAGCCCACCCCCCACCCTTCCCAGCAGCATTTTCTGTGGTTTATTGTCCAGCTGCGTTGGTCCAGTTTAGCACACTGCCCCACAGCTCGTGTGTTCACCATCAGTGTCCCTGTGGATCAAGCTGGTAGAAAAAACTGCCCCAGTTCCAATCATGGTTCCTAAGGACCCTACAGATGCATGAGCCTCCCTCTGAATCTCACAAAGAGCTAGAAGGGACTCGCGGAACTCTAGCCTCATCCCTGCTTTACAGGTGAGACAGGCCCAGGAAAGGGATAGGCTGTCAGTATGGCACCCAGCTAGTGAGCCACTCAGTCACCTTATTCCCGGAGACAGCCTTCTGATGCTGAGAAACCTGGCTTGCACACTACTGCTGCAATTGGGACCATGTCTCCAACAGCAAAATAAAAACAAACAGGTCTCTTGAGTAATCATTTTAAATTACTGCCAAGGACAACTCAAAACTGCTACTGATTCTTTCCTCCTGTTAGGTTCTTTGGTGAAAACTGACACATTGTCACTGCTTTTTCAACTGTTGTAGTCTGAACTCAAGAGCTTTCTCAGCATCGATCCCTTTCTGCTAGGGGTTTCCAAGTGTCACTGTCTGGGTGGCTCCTGGTTCCTCTGCATTTACAGTATTGGGTATTTAGTAGATCTGCAAACCCTTTTAGAGTCCGTAATTTGCTCGGTAATTATCTTTTCATGTCTTCATAATATGGCGTTGAACTTAAACAGCAACATGTGCCAAAAACTAGTTTCAAGAAAGCTTTTTAAAAAAGGTTTTCCTTAATTAATTAAATCCTCCACCCTCGCTCTCAGTTTGCTACAAAGGACGTCCAGAAAATCGTACTGTCCGGCGCAGTGCAATTCGTGGGGCAGGGGGGTGGGGGTGAGGGAAGAAAGTGAAAAACCTTTCAGCTTAACGCGTCGCCTTGTGTTTCCTTCCCCGGGGTTACCCGCCTCCATCAGCCAGACGCTAGGGAGGAGGGTCAGGATTGGGAGGCCCGCGGGGGGTCGGAGTGAGGAATAGGGTCCCTACAGATGAAAGAGCATCCGTACCTTTCCGGGCCTGCTGGATGTACCTGGCCAGCAGCGCGCCCAGGTGCGCTCGGGGCTCGTCGTCCACCTTCTGCACTGCCCTCAGCTGCCTCCGGGGCGCCTCTTCCTCCTGCTGCGCCCCTGGGCCCACCGGGTCCGCCGAAGGGACCGGCTGCGCCAGGGCGCCGGCCGCCAGGACCGCCAGCAGCACGCACAGGCACACGCCGCCGTTCATGGCTGCGGAGAGCAAAGGCGAGGGGACGTGAGCGAAAAGGTGGGCGGATCGCGGGCTCTCGTGGAGGCTCGGGGCAGCCGGGGTACGGAAAAGGGGGCTCAGTCCAAACGCGCGGGGCCCCAGGTCCGCCACACTGGTGCACACACAAGGGCTCGCCAGGCGCCGACGTGAGCCAGGTGGCCACAGCGCGCGTGTCCGGGCACACCCCGTTTGTCTTTTGGGTGAACCACACCCCGTGCCCGGGGAAGCGGACAGAGACCCTGTCTTCTGCCCTGGCTAGCGGAAGAAACGTCTTCTGTTTTCCATTCGTTTCAGAAAGTGTGGTTAGAACGTCTGTCTTCTAACTGGAAAAGCAAGAGATTAAAGCTGGGAAAATAATCTCAGGACAAGACTCCGTGGGAGAAGCGAGATCCTTGATAGCTAAGAAGCTTTCAATGGGGGAAATAAAGGGTGAAAAAAAAAAAAAAGAAGCACAGCTTAAAATGAGGGAACAAAAAAGAAAAGCCATATTTTGAAAGTTTCTTTAAGGTGTATATGGGAATTGGCAATAAACTACTATGCAGAACACAGGAAGGGCTTTTTTAAAAATCAGAAGTATGCTAAAATAAATAAATCTTCATAAAAAATGTTGTCAGAAGTATGCGCTCAGTCTTCTGTCCTTGGCAAAGCGCCGCAGCCTTTTAGATGCACCAGCAGATACGACAGCCGCACGTTTCTATCCCCAAAGCCTTGAATTTTTCTGCAATTTTTAGAAAATGAATTTAAATCTTAAAACCTCTTGATAGTTTATTTGAAGAGATTGCAAAGTACGCTGCACCTCTGTGTAACATCAAGCTAATCCCAAACTGCATGCTAATCCTGGCAAATAGATAGTCCAGCATTGCGTGCGGACGAGAACAAAGGCGCTTTGAAGTCTCCTAAGCAGCTCTACCCACCCAAACCTCCCTGTTACTGACTTCAAGAAATGTCTTTCGAGCTGGGAAGAAGACGCAGAAAACGGATAAATAAAATGGAAGGGGCACAAAACTGAAGACAGCATTCTCAAGCCAACTTGACACTTGGATCCCCCGCAGGAATGCGGGGAACCTACCTTCAGAGTAGGACGCAGCGGGCTTTGCGTGCGTTTCGACGGGAGTGGAGGGGGAGCTGAGCCAAGTTCAGGTGGGCAGGCAGGACGCTGCCTCTTAAATAGCCCCTCCCGGCGCTGTCAGCCAGTCATCTGTTTACCCAGCGTTGACGCAGACCGGCAGCAACACGTGCTCAGAGGGCGGCCACTGGGACGACAACCGATTGAAGTGGCTCCTGGGAGAGAGGAGGCAACGGCCCACTGGAGCTGGGTTAACCCCTCGCAGGAGGGGTGTCCCGTGCCCAGCCCCCCCTCTCTGTCGGAGGAGCTTCCTCTCCCAACTCTGTCCCTCTCCCTCTCCCATTCCAGGGTGGGAAACCTGGGTGTCGGGAATATCCTTCAGGTTGGAGAAGCTGCCCAAGTTTAGTCCGCTTTGGGGACCGGAGGGGCCGGAAAGGAGACCCGGAGCAGGGCGGGGGGGCGGGGTTTCAGCAAAGTGTAATTCGGAGCTGGAGGGGGTGTTAGACCCCCTCGGAGCATCCCAGGCAGCTCTGGTTTTTTTTGACCAGTGAGTGGGCTTCCTGGGGGAGGGAGGTGTCTTCACTTTCTGCTCCGCCCCATGAAAAGCCCTGGAGGTTCTCCAGGATTCCGAGGGCAGGTGTTCCCGGGTCAGCGAAAGGGCTCCGGCCGCAGCTGGTTCTTGGAAACCCCGGGCCTCTGTTCACGCAGCTGTAAAGTGAGGATGACACCCCAGGACTTTGCTCAGAGTTTGGGAAAGGGCTGTGTTTTCCTCGGGGCCAAATTACTCCTGCTCGCGGCGCGCGCGGCTCCTCGTCGCCAAGTGGCGCCAGCGAGTGTCCCAAACAGCCCTCTCTCGGTGTTCCCCTCCGGCAGCGGCATCCGCCCCTCCCACCTGCCTCCAGTCGGGGAGCACTCACACCCAGGCCGGATCCCCCGCTCCAGCGCCCGCTGCTCGGCTTCGGCTTGAGGACCTCGCCCTGGTCACTCACCGCCCGCAGGGGGCAGGGGAGGCGCGGAGGCCGTCCTGCGTCCTTCCCAATGCCATCGCGCCCCTGGCTCCCGAGCCAGGTGACCCGTGCCAGGGCGCCGTGGTGGCCAAAGCCGCCTCGGCCCTGAGGCCGTTTGGGTGGGTGCTCGAGTTCGCCGCCTCTCCGCGAAAGGCACTGGCAATCCCATTTCACAGACGGCAAACCGAGGCGCGAAGAGCTGAGTCTAGCCGAGGATCCACCGCCTGGCCCTGGCTGCCTCGCGCACGGAGCCTCCCTGCCCGAGACCTCCGGGTCGCATCCATCCCTCCTCCCGTCCCGGAACTCTCATTCCTCCCCTCCTTTCCCTCAAGAAGCATTTGGAAGTGCTTCTTTGAAAACTGGCACCTGTACTCAGCAGTGGGGGTCCCGAGATGGCCGGACCGCGAGGACTCTTGAGGGGGTGGGGGTCGGCGTGGGGGGGTTGGCTGGGGGAGCTTGGCGGGGAGACACTTCTGGTTGCATCCCCTTTTCTAAACTCTAGAGGCTGCTGTTTTTCTGCAACCGACAGGCAACATTTCTGAAACAGCTGCAGATAAAATGTTTTCCAGTGGTTTTCCCACGAGGCTGCTAAGGGTTGTGCAGTTCAGTTTGAGAAACCAGTTTGATTTGTGACTGTGGCTAAGACATTTCTGGGAACATAAACTTGTTATAAGACAGAATCACCTAAACGGCTTGTTCAAACACCTCCAGAGTTTTTGATTCTGAAGTGGGGCCCAAGAATCTGCATTTCTAACAAGTTCCCCAATGAGGCACCTGCTGGTGGGCCCCTGACCACCCTTCGAGAAGCACTGCTATAGAATTTCCCTATGGTAAGCCAGTGACTTAATGTCCTTCCTTCCATCCATTTAATTAATATGTATTTATTGAACACTTGCTTTGTGCCAGGCATTGGAGATGTAGTATGAACAATGGTGACAATATAATGGGGGAGCAGAAAAAACAAGTTAACAGACACCCCCCTGGTGATTCTGATGTACTGGGGGGACTTTCAGGGTGGAGGAGGTGGGGGATGATCCCAGAGAAATGTGTTTTTTTTAAAAAAAAGATTTATTTATTTGAGAGAGAGAGAGAGAAAGTGCACAGCAAGTGCAGTGGAGGGGGGTAGGGGCAAAGGGAGAGGGAGAGAGAGAGTCCTCAAGCGGACTCCACGCTGAGTGTAGAGCCTGGGCAGGGGACCCCGCCCAGGACCCTGACATCATGACCTGAGCCGAGATCAAGAGTCAATCGCTCAACCTATTGAGCCACCCAGGTGCCCCCAGAGAAGTGTTTTGCTGAGGGGGAGCAAAGGAATGAGGCTCTGATTTTAGAAAGATGAGTCTGGTTGTGATGTGCAAGGTGTTCCAAGCGGGGAGATGCTGTAAGTCAGGATCTGTTAGGAGGACCAGGAGGGATCACGATAGATTTACATTGAGGATTATAATGCATTATGAAGCCTATTAGTTATTACAAAACATACTGAACATTATGAAAGTAATGTGTTCATTAGAGATAATTCAGAAAATCAGTAAAAGGAGAGAGAAGAAGAAAAATTCCATCATCCCAAGACAGCCACTATTAACCTCTTGGTGTCTGAGAAGCCTGGAAAGGCAATGAAACTAGATGACTGAGGCTGACCTTGAGGCTCCCTGTTGTGAGACGGGGGTGGGGTGGGGGGTGGGAGTGCTACTCAAGACCGAGAATTCGGGTGTGAGGGCAGGTTTGCGGCATGCGGGTGAGGGAGGTAATGAGTCTAACATAAGACTGAGCTCATTGCTGGTGCATGGATGGTCCCGGAGCAGGTTGAGAATGAGCCCTGAGCTCAGGACAGAGAGGCACTGGAGGTGTGGACCAGAGTCTTTGGGGAGTGGTGGTGTCTGCCAGCCTGGGAGTCCTAGGGAGTGCCTACAAGGGCAGGCAGAATAGGCACATCCTGAGGAGCGAGAGCAAGAAGGTGAGTGGAGAAGAGGAGGCTGGTAAAGAACCAGAGAAGGAGTGGCCAAGACACCAGAGTAAAAATGCCATAAGGAGAAGCCAACAGTGACAAGGATTATCAGAAGCTGGAAGAAGAGCATAACTTGCAATAAAGTTGTAGCCACTTCACCCCTAGGAATGGGATTCTGAGCAGGGATATGTTACAGAAGATCCTCTGGGAAAATAAAAAGTTAAAAGGAGTCTGAACTCCATGACCATAGTAACGAGTCTTCCTTCTTAATGGGTCAGAGGGTACTAATAACTCTAGACCACTTCTAAAGCAAGATGGGCCTGGACCCCACTTTTCCTGTTAATGCAAATGCATATCTGCATTAAGGAGAATCCATTTATTCACAAAAAGATACTTGCTTAATGCCTCTTAAGGCAGATGCTTTTGGTGCCCTTCACCACAGCTACATATCCCACCTCTGGCTCTAGCTGGGTTTGGACTGGGCAGTTGTGAGCAAACAGTGTTCTCATCTCAAGTTTCTAAAGCACCCCTCTGCAGCTCTCTGCCCCAAAGCTCAGTCCTAGCAGAGGTTTAGTCTGGAAGTACAAGGGTCTTAATATCCCAGAGGATAGGACAACCCTCATCCAGTGGGGGATAGGAACCCATTTCCTGTCCTCTGTATGGACCATTTACAGAAGCTTCTAGAATCTTCTCAAAGTTTCTTTCGTCCAGCAAAGGCCTTGATTACCTCTCTTTAGCTGATTTTTCTTTTCTTTTTTAAAGATTTTTATTTGTTTATTTGAGAGAGAGAGAGCACAAACACGGGGAGTGGGAGAGGAAGAAGCAGACTCCACGCTGAGCAGCGAGCCCGATGCGGGGCTTGATCCTAGGACCAGGGATCATGACCTGAGCCAAAGGCAGATGCTTAAATGACTGAGCCATCCAGGTGCCCCTTTTTGGCTTTTCCTTCTCCCCTGCCTTACTCCTCTCATTTCCTCACTTTTGTATCTGGTATCATCTCTCAAATAAACCACTTGCCCCCATGGCTGTCTCTAATTTCAGGATAATGCTACTGAAAGCATCAACTGTCCATTAGGCACTGTTGGGATACAACAGGGAGCAAGACAGACAAAAATCCCTCTGCTCATGGTGCTTCCATTCTAGTGGGAGAGATAGGTAATAAACAAGAAAAATACTTATGTATGCGGTAGATCATCGATGGGCACAAATGATTCTGAGAGAAGTAGATCAGGTAGAGGGTTTGGGCTGAAGATTTGCGGGAACATATGCAAACCCTTGCTTCAGGTTCCTCTTTTAGGCTCTTTGATATGTAGACCTCATTATGTATGTTAAGGAGAAATGGTTTTGCTTTTCAATGCAAATAAACACAATGGAAGTTGTAATGAATTTTACCTTGTTTGGAGGTTGTTTTTGTATTTCACCAAATATGAGATGGTAATTAAGTTTTACCCTAAGCCCATCCTCTTGTCTCAGGAAAGGAAAGAGCAAGGGCAGTGCCCTCTCTGTTCCCCACCTGCCCACCCCTCACCCCCTTACCACTGAGTGAGGCTCACCAGCTGGGGCCCAGAACTGCCCATGATGTGGAAGTTCCTTCACGTCATGCAGGGGGCTGAAAGCATGACAACCATATCCAGATGTGGCATTTAAGAGCGAGTAGTGGTGAGAGGAAATTTGTGACTTTAACTGGTTTTAGAAGCTAGATAGTTCCATCTGATTGTGGTGAAAAGAATTAAATGAAGTTCCATTTAGAGTTGGAGAGGCATCCCCAAAGAGGGGTCCTTGCAAAAGATGCAATCATTGCAATGTAGGATTTTTAGCCATGGGAGGTATCTCAAAGACATATGTCCATTCTGCACTTGTAGAAAACTTAGTGGAATTTCCAGGGACATACTAGAGCCTCCTAATTTATTATTCACAGAATTCAAACTTGTTACAAGCAGTTCCCCTTTAAAGGATGTCAGGAGACTATTTGCTCTGATTCAAAAGGTGTTGGTTTGAAGTCTTCTTTTTTGGGTCTTTGAGTTTTTTCCCTGGAACATGTATTAGAAATGCCGTTGTTTGTCCTGGAACTTTTCAAAGGCCCACAGAGC